GGACTGAAACAGAAGATAGCAGCACTGCATGTACAAGGATGCCAGCTGCCGTTAAACCCCGAAGAAGAAGTAGCTCTGTCCCAGAATTCATAGCGCGGCCCAGCTCAGTTTCCAACAATGGCGGCAGCTAGTTAGTTTTAATATTACTCTTATTATTCTTTCTGGGTCACAAAATAAACGTTTAACATTTTCAGGTGAGAATGTAACTGTGTAAACCTCATATCTTATCAAGACACTACATATTTTCAAAAGCGCTCCGACGTTTTCGGAGACGTCTGTTACCCACTAGCTCAATAGCTAGCTGGGGGCAAGGTTCACTAGAGCCGCTGAGAACACCGGACTCCTGGCAAATCGTTTTCAAACCCACCGCCGTCTTTCGCTACTCAGGTTTAACATGAATAAGTCACTTAGATAACTTAAAAATGTTATTGTTTGGCTTTTTTTAGTATTTTATTTGTTCCTGAGTAAATCTGTTTGGCTGAAATTAAAGTTAGTTTTTACACAGCTGAATAAACATCAAGCAGACAGCTGATTATCAGAAGTGTGAGATGCTCGCGAATATACTCCGGTGTCCTGTTATATTTTAGATAGCAAGAAGTTAAACTTCACTGAAACAATCTGTAAATTTCATTAAAATTTAATAAACTATCATCTTGTCTTTATTTCTAGTTAGCACATACCTTAAACACTTAAAGCTGTAAGCTAATGATAGTTATATAAGAGCAGATGCTGCTGGTGCAATAAGCTGTACGCTGTACGTCCAATGGATGATGATCTGATTAGTTGACTAATCGCAAAAATAATCTGTGAATAGTCAACTATCAAAATAATCGTTTGTGGCAGCCCTAATGCTAACGTAGCTGTTTTGCTAGCGATCACGTAGGACATCATTATATATCAGCTAGTCTGATTTCAGTAACCCTACAAAAGTCACTGCTGTTTACTTTTTTGTCTTCATTTATGTTGGAAGTGATAGCAGAGCTGTATGTTTTAATTTTTTCATTAATCCTCAGTCAGAACATGCTATATCATGTTTAGGTGGAAACTAGTGAGCTAACTTCCTGCTAACTTCTCACTCCGTTGAATTTAATACATTCTGTTTTCATGGATGCCTGGATGTTAAACGTAATTGTTACACCTGATAAAGCAGCAACGCTGATCATTTTATTAAAGATGAAAGAATTTAGACAGTTTTTAACTCTCAGTGATGCCGCAGTTTTCGTTTGCCTATTTTGGACCCAGATTACTCCACAATGCTCCTGACTTCGGCAGCCGTAATGCTCTGGCAATCCATCAAGCAGTGCGCCTTCATAGCTTACCAAAGTCGTACTAAAACATTTTTGACAGATTTCTGCATCTGAAGAGGCGTGTACAACATAAAATTGGTTCGAGGTCAGTAAGCACAACCAGAATTCATACATAAGGCACAATGTCAATTTTTGAGAAAATTAAAGGATTTAAAGTGTGCCTTATAGTGTGTAAAATACGTTATACAGAAGAAAAGAATATATTGCGATATATATCGTTACCGCACATGCTTCAAATTATACCGCGATATGGATTTTAAGCCATATCGCCCAGCCCTACTTCTGACCTATCCTTCTTTACAACTTTGCTTAGTTGACTAAAGTCTGCAGGTCATTGTTTATGCACAGCTCTCTTAAGGTTCACACCATTTTAGTTTGGTTAAGGTCTAAGGACTTTGGGCCATTCTATAGATTTGCCCCTGTGCTTGGGCCTTGGCTGCTTTGCAGATAACCTCGCCTCTGACTTTATGGTTGAATCTGTGATTGCTCAGTTTAAAAATGGCCTTGTAACCCTTTCCATGGACATTAACGATTGCTTCTCTAAGACCGTTGCTGAGGTCTTTCCTTCTTAGCATTGTGTTACCGTGAACCTGAATGCTCCAGACCATCAAACTCCCAAAACATCTGCTTTTATACAGGTGCTCACACTTAATAATACTTATACTGTTAATTCCCAGAGAAAAACTAAGAGTTTGCTTATTTTTTAAGACACTCTAAGGATCAGAGCATTTTTCCTACATCCTGATATGTAAAACTTTAGAATCCAAAGAGGCTGTGCTTTCTATTTGCCACAACTCCCTGAAGTCATTTATTCAGCAAATGTATAATGTTTCCTTGATTCTAGCCCTTACAGTTTAAAATGTTAGATTTTAAAAAAACAATTTCCCTGTTCAGCTTTGATCAGATGCT